ATTTCTCATCAAAAAACTCATACTGCAGTGAAACTCTTTGAATGTAATGAATGTGGGAAAATTTTCAATGAGAAGGATAGTCTTATTACTCATCAGAGAACTCATAATGGAGAGAAATCTTTCACATGTCTTGAATGTGGAAAAGCTTTCAATGAGCATAAAGCCCTCAGAAAGCATCAGAGAATTCATACTGGAGGAAAATCCTTTGGTGAGAAGGAACACCTTATCACACACCAGACAACCCATACTGGAGAGAAAGCCTTTGAGTGTAGTGAATGTGAGAAAAGCTTCAGCCGGAGGGAAAATCTTGTTAGACATCAGATAATTCATACTGGGGAGAAATCTTTTGAACGTAACAAATATAGGAAATCTTTCAGCCAGAGGATGCACTTCATTTATCATCAGGGAATTCATGCTGGAAAGAAACCCTTTGAATGTACTGAGTGTGGGAAAGCCTTTAGTGAGAAGCGAACCCTTAATAGACATCAGAAAACTCATACTGGAGTGAAACCCTTTAAATGTAATGAATGTAAGAAAGCCTTCAGCCGAAGGACAATCCTTATTATCCATCAGAGAACTCATACTGGAGTGAAACCTTTCATATGTAATGAATGTGGTAAAGCCTTCAGCCAAACAGGACATGTCATCCGACACCAGAGAACTCATACTGGAATGAAGCCCTTTGAATGTAATGAATGTGGGAAATCCTTCAGTGAGAAGGATCATCTTATTACCCATCAGAGATCTCATACTGGAGAGAAACCCTTTGCATGTAATGAGTGTGGGAAAGCCTTTAGCCGAAGGACAATCCTTATTACCCATCAGAGAACCCATACTGGAGTAAAACCCTTTGAATGTAAGGAATGTAGGAAAGCTTTCAGCCAGCGGGGACACCTCATTTATCATCAGAGAATTCATACCGGAGAGAAGCCCTTTGAATGTAACGAATGTGGAAAAGCCTTTAGCTGGAGGGCAAACCTACTTACTCATCGTAGAACTCATACTGAAGTGAAACCTTTTGCCTGTAAAGAATGTGGGAAAACTTTCATTGAGAGGCAAACCCTTTTTAGACATAAGAGGACTCATGCTTCACCAAAATCCTGTTCAGTGTAATGAACAGGGGTAGGTTTTTGGTGAGAGGCAGGCCATCGTCAGACAGAAGAGAAAGAACACAGAACTGATTTCCTTTGATTTGTCATTAATATGGCAAAGCCTTTAGTGAGAAGAAAGTACCAAAAAGCCACCAAAGATCTCGTACTGGAGAGAAAGGGTCCTGTTCCAGGTAGTGTTAGGACATGTGACAAGATGGCCTGGTTGAAAGGTGACTGACTGCATATATTATACTAGTGCAGTTTGCACTCATTCATCAGTCAAGACTTCTATCTGCCTTTCCTGCCCCAACCTATTTGCTGACTTCCAATTCACATTTCCAACTGCCTTTCGACACCTCAAACTGCTTGTCCAGTAGACATCTTAAACTGAACATCTCCAAGACACAACTCATCTTTCCCTCTAAACTCTTCCCCCACCTGCTTTCCCTGTTGTCCATCCACCCATCTCTCAGGCTCACAACCTAGGAGTCATCTTGAACTTACTCTTTCACACACACCCCCATGTCCCAATCTATTGCTAAGGCCTGTTGATTTCACTTCTGTAACATTTCATATATGCTTACTTCTCTCTTCTGATACTGCCACCACTATAGTGCAGACCCTCATCACCTCAGACCTGGACTATTGCAATAGCCTGCTGGTGGGTCTGCCTGCCTCAAGTCTCTTCCCCATTACAATCCATCCTTCCATCAACCATCAAAGTGATTTTCCAAAAGTGAAGGTCTGCCCATGATACTCCTCAATAAACTCCAGTGGCGCCTGTTGCCTCTTGGATCAAATACAAAATGCTCTGTTTGGCATTCAAGCCCTTCCCTAACCTCGCCCCCTTCTACTTTTTCAGTTTTCTTACACTTCACTCACCACCGTGTGCTCTTTGATCCAGTGACACTGGTCTCCTGATTGTCCCATGAACAAGATACTCCCATCTCTCAGGCATTTTTTCTGACTGCCCCCATGCTTGGAATGCTCTCCCTCCTCAATTCCAACTACTAACTTCCTTGGCTTTCTTTAAGTCCCAACTAAAATCCTATCTTTTACAGGAAGCCTTTTCCACCTCCTTAATACTAGTGCCTTCCCATTATTATTTCTTATTTATCCTGCATATAGCTTGCTTTGTGTATGTTTTTATGTTATTTTCTCCATTAAGTTGCAAGCTCCTTGTGAGCAGGGACTGTCTTTTGCCTTTTTTTCCTTCTTTTTATCCTTTGAGTTTAGCAATAAATGTTTATCAGTTGACAAAGAAAAGGCATCATAATCCCCAGGGAGGAGTTCAAAAGATGATCAGCTCCCCCTGGGACTGAGTCATGATCTGGAGGTTCTGCTCATAGGATGCTATTCCAGGTAGGGACAAAAGGGGCAGCATCAGGCCTATGGCATGATGCACAGCTGTGTCATGATGGGATGTATAGCACCTTCACATCCTGAGATATCAGTAGATGGCAGCAGAATTCCATAAATCAGTGGAGCAAATGGGACTGATTCAGGATTCGATTTCTCAATTGATTGTTTCCCCCAAACCACTGCAATGTTATTTGTTTCCTTAAGGGTAAATTTACCCATATTTTCTTTCATTTTACTTTTCTATTCTATATAACAACAAAATCAAAGATGAAAACAAGAATAAAATCCGTGTGAAAACAGTAAGTTTAAATTGCAGTTAAAACAAATGTATATACTTTTACACGACCAAAAAAGGTCGTCTTTGCTGCCTTTGCCCCTATGGCTTCCTGCCATTGACAAGTTCCTCCTGGAACTTCCATTTTGAGGAAGGGCCTAGACCAACCATCTTCCATTCTCTGAGCTTTGCCACCAGATTTTGCTCTGCCCTTTTCAGTTCTCTTTTATATGTTGTCTTACTAAAATGTAAGCTCCTTGAGGGCATGAACTGTCTTTTTATTTCTCTTTGTATCCTCAATGCTTAGCACAGTGCCTGGTACATTGTAAATGTGCTTAATGCCTGTTGACTTTTGAAATTTTTCTTTATATTGATATGGGTGTGATATTGCTGTTCCTTATATAATCATCCTCAGTGGATATATTGTTATTACTATGTAGTCTTTCACTTTGTATTACTTCGTCTAAATCTTTTTTTTTTTTGGAATTTACAGATGAGATGATAGTGGATAGAGTGCTGGGCCTGGAGTTAGGAATACCTGCATTCAAATCTGACTGCAGATCCTTCCTAGCTGTGTTACCCTGGGCAAGTCATTTAACTTCAGTTTCCTCAACTATAAAATGGGGAAAACAGTAGCACCTGCTTCCCAGGTTGTCATGAGACTCAAATGAAGTGTATGTAAGTTGTTTAGCACGGTGCCTGGTGTGTAGTAAGCACCATGTAAATGCTAGCTGCTATTACTATCGTCACCATTCTTAGATGTGTCATATCTTGGGGCACATCAGTATTACGTTATTTTTATAAAAATGTGTTTACCTATTTCCCCCAGTCAAAGAACGTGAAGGGGTTTTTTGCTATTATGAATAATGCTTCTATGAGTATTTTTGTGCAAATAGATTCTATATCCCTGTTACTGCTGTTGTACGCTAATGCATGAGATCTATGTAAATGCTATTGGTAATGGGACTGAATTTCCATGACTCCAAGAGAGATTCAGGTCTTTTTTTTTTTCTTGGAAAAGTCCCTGATGTCAGCCTGATAACACCAAATGCATCATAGACTCTTTTATGGCCATCTTGTTTGTCAATACCTTCTGCTATTGGTGGATCCACTTGTACTTAGTAGCTCTTTCACAGTTACTATCTACAGCTACCAGCCCTCCTTTTGCAGAGCTATAGTATCCGTTCGTTTGTTTCATTCTATCACTTTTTTTTTTCCCACTGTTGCTTCTGTACATCTTGTGCTGGACAGACTCATCAATTAAGAGTTTCTGTCAAACTACATTGTCATTCTAATTTTTTTTGTGTTTTAAAAAATTATTAATGTGATAGATATCAGTTAACAAGATCATTTCTGTGTACAAATGAACAGAAAGAGAGGGGCTTAGGGCCATCTGAGAACCCAACAGTGGTGACCAGACGGCAGACACCTAGCCTCTCTCCTGACCCTAAGCCTTTCCAGAATGGCTTCATGAAGAGCCATCACCCTCAGAAGTATGCACTCATCTTGCCTTCCCCCTTTGCTCAGGCCTCCTGACTAGTCCTGTTTTTTCTGATGAGATGGAGTGCCTTCAGGCTTTACCCTTTCTCCCAAGATCCTCCAAGCCTTACCATATGCTGTGCCTCTATGCCCTACAATCCCCCAGCCCTGTCATCTTAACTGCCTAACTAAAAGCCTCTCCATGTAGGACCTCTTGGCCTGCAGACTGCCCCACTGCTGCACTCATCTGCTCTGCCCTGAACTTCCTTTGATCTGTTCTCTCCCCCAGTGAGACTGTGAGCTCTTTGAGAGCAGATCCTGTCTTGATTTTTCTATTTGTATCCCCATTGCTAGCCTAATGCTTGGTGTATTGTAAGCACTTAATCAATGTTTATTTATAACCATAAACCTTTTTTAAAAATTAATTCTGAACTTAAGAAACACCAGTTAAAAGCTAGCATTTCCATATACATACATAATAGAACAGAAGCAGGATTTCGTATGAAACTGAATCTCAATTATTTTGGCTTGTGTTTGTTTGTAGCTATAATAAATTCAAATGTAACTTTCAAAGCCGTCTTGCCTGCGTGTGATTCTTGTCTTCTCTGCATTTTAAAATAATGCTTCAATGCCCTTCTTTTCTTTCCTTTTTTTCTGGCAATGCTATTTCTAGTTCTCCTCTCCTACCGCCACCTCCAGTTTATAAGAAACAAAAAGCCTTGTAACAAATATGCCTAGTCAAGCAGAACAAAAATGTATGTCTCACTGCAACCTGAATCCATATACTTCTCTGTCGGGGAATAGATGGTATGTGTCTTCAGCAAGATGCATGCGTCTACATCAATTCAGAGTTTTTGAACGTTTCTTTTGCCATCAAGGGGTGATTCTCCTGGTTCTGCTAACTTCACGCTACTAACGCTTCTTACAAGTCTTTTTGGGTTTCTCTGAAAGCAACCACTACGTCATGGCGCATTCATATAGCACAATTTATTCAGCTGTTCCCCAGTTGATTAATCAGCAAGGATATATGCATGTGTCATTCCTTCTCAGCAAGACAAATATCAAGCACTTCTTGTCAGAAGAACCCTGGGGGAAACTGAAGAGACGGTGCCCAGCCCCCAAGGGGTGCGGTGACAGAACATCCAGAGGAAGTCCGGTTGTCACCAAAGAGTCAGTGGCCTCCATTAGAGTCTTCATTACTACAATCCACCCCTCAAACAGAATTAACACGCTCAGATCTCAATGAACAGGTCCTACCTTTAATGGCCAGGCATTTCAGTCACTGTTACTTAGTTTTCCGCAGAGAATTGATTACTTAGCCCAAATATATATGGAAAGTATTGACTTCATTAAGATAATATTTTAAAACAAGGTAACCCTTGAAGGTGATGCATTCCCTCCTTATTTACAGGAAGCATAGTCATTAAGGCCAAGTGTCACTACCCCTCTTTTACTTATACCATTATTCCCCACTCCTGGTTTGACTGTGAGCATAGGCCATTAGTTATTGATTTTAACAATAGTATTAACAGCCAAGCCTCCCACCCCAAGAATCCCCATTAGGGCTGTCTGAATGGCAAGGTTCTGAGCTAAGATTAATTAGAAAATATATTGAAATTAGATCCAGTATCTAATTAAAGTCCCAACACATACATCCCCAAGCATTAATTAACTTTTCTTTTTTGGGAGAAAGTTTCACATACAACATGGGGTTTGGTTGGCTCAATCCTTTTTCTTGGGCAGTCTCTCCCATTCAGGTATCTATGCAAATATAGACCAAGACCCGTAAGTATCATGGCTTCTATGTTTTGTCGTGAAAATGAAAAGGATGAAGCTTAGAACTGAATTACTTGGCGCCTTCTTTTGATGTCTCCTCCCATTTCAAAGTGCCTACATCTCTTAATGTCCAGCATCCTCCCACCCCAAAAACGTGTTGGGCCCAACACGTTCAAACCTCAGTACAGTCATACACTACCCCATGATGTCGTTGGTCCTCTTTGAAAATGAAAGATAAATAACCACATTGAAGCCGTAAACAGTTTTACATGTACTTGTCTCCCCTATTAGAGTGCAGTGGCCTTGACCTTCCCCCACCCCCTGGAAAACTGGCTTTGTTTGACCATCCTAGCTCCTCTACTTCTGATCATAGCACCTTTCCCCCTGAATGCAGAGGGAGCCTTTGCCCTTTCAGGCATCACTTTGTGAGGATGGTGATGGCTGTGTTTCCTGCGGTAAGCTTTCCGCCATGCTGGTGGCAGATCTGTCAGCCAGAAGACCTCAAGTGTTTATCAAGGGCAATGTAAAGCACTGGGCTAGATGCTCAGGATACAAGTACAATGAATCCAATTCAATTCAATAAACGTGTGAAGTCTTACTGTATGCTAAGTGCTAGGAATACAAAAAGGGGCAAAAGACATTCCCTGCCATCAAGGAGCTTACAGTTGAATAGGGGAAACACTATGCAAATATAGACAAAATGAGCTCTATACAGGATAAACAGGAAATAATTAAGAGAAGGAGAGCATTGAAATAGAGT